CGCGCGTACGTGTGTGTGTGTGTGCACGAGACGAATGCATCGATCAAAGGATCGAGGTGATGCGGACGCTTGTGGTCACGCGATGGAGGACATGCAATGCAGCCATGCCAGCCATGCAATCGTGGATCACAATGTGAATCTTGAATCAAGAATCACGAATGCAAGCCAGCAGACAGACAGACAGCCTTGCAGAGCCGGTCGCGTGACTCAACACTCACCACTGCTTTGCTTGCTGCTTGAATTGTGATGGTGATGTGTGATGTGCGCGTGGATGCGAATGTGACAATCACTCGCTTCTCTCTCCCCACGACGCGAGGGCCAAGTTCAAGTCATCTTCTTTCTCCCTTTCACGTGCCCCCCCCCCATTCAGCCCAGGCCCCGCTCCGCTCCGCTCATACACTTGACTCATTCCGAGGCCAGAGCGTACATTGAACCCTCTTTTCCCCCCTTCGCGCTTCTTTCAATCACGATCGCCACTCGTGCACCCTTAGTCAATCAGACATGCGAGAGTGTGCGCAACACGCGGGGGGCCAAGACCACTTGCCAATCCGCATTGTCCAACTGGCGAGAGCATGCGCTCGAGGTCCGCATACAACTGTGTGGCACATTGCAAATGCAGCAGCAGCAGCAGCAACCAGTACTCGAGCACCTGCTGCCCCTCTCACAATCTCGCGATATTGCTCCTCCTCCTCTCCTTGCGCACCCTGCAACAGTTCGCAAGACGACGAAGCATGCTGTAGGTCAGACAAAGTCGTTTACGGGGGCCCGCGCATACATCCTCTCTTTCTTTCTTTTGCCTCAAAGCTTGGGTACGAACTGCAGCATTTGACCGCCATCCACGACGATGCCTTGTCCGACAATGTGAGCACCGGCTCTACTGCAGAGCAGCAGCGTCAGACCCGCAATGTCTTCCGGCGTGCCCGTGCGGCCTGCGAAAGGGCAACAGGGAGACGCGCGCGCGCGTATGCGTGGAACATGAGTAGGGCCGTAGAACTCTTGCAACACATGCGCGTTCGACTCACCAGTGGGCTGCACGCCTTCGAGGATCTCCTTGTTGTTGGTGAGCGCGTAGCTGGTCATGCGACTGGGAAAGACGCCGGGCAGAATGGCATTGACGAGGACAAACTTTTCGGACAAGGAGTTGGCCATGGTTCGAGTCAGGTGCAGCGAAGCCGCCTTGGATGGTTGGTCTGATGCGATGCGATGCGGCGCAGGTCAGCTTGTGAAGGCGTTGGCATGCGTGCGAAGCAGCGTAGCGCAGCGCTACTCACAGCTCCATGTTCCCGTACCTGGCTCGCCCAGCCCGCCCTCTGCGATGGGCGCAATGGCGGCAGTGCTCGCAATGTTGATGACGGAAGCCTGCTTCGTGTTGGACTTGCCAGCTTCCAAGAGCGGCAGCAGGCTGCATGGTGTGGGGTGGGGGTGCCAGCGACACGACACGAGACGAGACGACATGTGATCAGTCAGTCGATCGATGGCGTGCACGAGCGCAAGAGAATCCTCCTCGCGTGCGTCACTGCACCCATACCCTTCCTCGGAGCACTCACGCGACGGTGAGGTAGAATTGGCTCTTGACGTTGAGGTGAAACACCTTGTCCCAACCCTTTTCCTCTGGGAAATCGTCCAGCATGCCGCCCCACGTGATGCCGCTATTGTTGACGAGAATGTCCAAAGATTTCTCGCCGGCCGACTTGATGGCGTCTGCCAAGGCATAGCAGCCCGCCTTGCTGCCAACGTCTGCTTGAAGCGCAATCACCGACGGGGCTGCGTGCGTGCGTGCGTGCGTGCGTGCGTGCGTGCGTGGGTGGGTGCGCGTATGCGTGTATGCGTGGCAGGGTGTTGTTGAGCAAATGCGTGGGGCTCAGCGTGGCAGATGCCCAGCACCGACGACTTTGCAAACTCACAAGCAGAGCCGGATGGCGCCAACTGTTGCATGGCTTCTGCCTGCTTTTTCAGCTCGTCGATCTTGCGCGATGCAATGTACACTGTGGGGGGGAGGGCAGAACGAGATTGCGTTTGATTCGCTGTTTGCCCTGCCTGGGACGCTGCGCTCCATCGTCACACATGTCCGTCACGTCGCATCCTCACCCTTTGCTCCATTGCGAACGAGCGCAGTAGCCATCACTGACAGGGACGCGGGACACGGAGGCGGAGGCGAAGGCGGGGCAAGCGTCGTGTGGCAAGTCAGCGAGCAGCGGTCGGTCACGGACGAGTCGAGGTGGGCCACTGTGCCATGCCATGCCGTGCACCATCTCCTCACCCTCATCCTCACCCTCCCCCGCATCCCCCACTCACTCTTTCCCAAACCGCTACCACCACCCGTAACCAGCGCAACCTTTCCCTTGACGCTGAAAATATGGCTGGAGCTCAGCTCCGGCATGGTTTCGGGCGACACATCCTTTGGCATGTTGACGAAGGTGCGTGCGTGTGTGTGTGTGTGTGCAAGATGAAAGAGGTATGTTTCGGCGAGACGAGACGGAGTGCAGGAGTGTTTGCGTGGTGAAGGGGATGGAGGCAGGGATGAAGGGATTTGCAGTGCGCATCTCTTCTCGTCTCTCCGTGTGCGGGGCACACACGCACACACGCACACACGCACGCACGCACGCACGCACGCACCCCACGCACGAGGCGCGGCGCCATGCCCTGTGTGCATCAACATCCTCACGCCCACGGCCACGGCCACTCTTCCGGCCCGGGGGGCACAAGTCACGAGCGTGCTCGTGCGCCCACAATCTTGAATGATGAAGCGTCACGTGATGGTGCATGTAGATTCAACCTTCAAGATTCACACGTGATTCTTGATTTCGGTTGAAGCCTGCCATGCAGCTTGTTTCACTCGTGACTCTTGACTCGTGACTTGGTGGTTTGGCCGACAATCTCTCGAATCACCACGATGGAAATGACGAGTGTTGCGACTCTTTTGACTCGGTAGCTGCTCTGCTGCCGTCTGTCTGTCTTCAACTCACCACTCCCAGCCATGTCGACAGCCATGCATTCCTTCCACTCCATGGGCCAGCAGGAGGGCAGCCATGCGCGCGAGGAGAGCGTAGAAGAAGCAGCAGCAGCAGCAGCAGCAGCAGCAGCATCAACCTCTGCCTCTGCCTCTGCCTCTTTGCACGCCGCTTCAGCTTCCACCAGCACTTTTCGCAGCGCAGAGACGCAGAAGAGCGTCGAAGCGGAGACGCGCAGTCTCAGTCCACCAAGCTCGCCCACGCAGCAGCAGCAGCAGCAGCAGGATCCAGACTTGCACAGCCACACGACGCATCCCATTGGCCAGCAGACGAGCAGCAGCGATGGCGATGTGAATGACGATCCATGCGCCATGCCCGCGTCCACGCCCGCATCCACGCCCGCGTCCACGACCACTCCTCGCGTGCTCAGATCTCCCAGTCCAGCATACGCACCTCTCTCCCCTTCCCCCCTGCCACACTACGTACCATCCAAGATTCCCTCTTTGCGACACGATGCTGAAGCAGCGCGCAAAGAAGCGCGCGCTCTGACCGGTTGGGGAGCTGTGGGAAACGTTGCGGGATGGAGGAGCGTCACGCCCACGCCGACTAGAATGATGATGATGGATGCTGCTGCTGCTGCTGCTACTGCTGCGGAAGAGCGGCCATTCAGGACGGCATCGCCTGTACCGAGTGCCAGCGTGGACGAGAGCAGATCGCCTGACAGAGCTTCGCGCACAGCTTCCACTTGGCATCCCCTATCGCACGCGCACGCGCACCAGCACGAGCACGAGCACGAGATCCAACAGCCAGTCACGCCGCCCACAACTCCTTCTCGCAAACGCGGGGCGAAACGAGGAGCAGGAAGATCGGCATGGGGCGATCATGTTCAGCGACACGCTATACTGGGTGCGGGAGTGTATGAGGAGGATGATGGGGCCGATTTGGCGGGTAGAGAGTGGCATGCTATGTATGCGCCCGGTAGTCATGCTGCTCCTGCTCCTGCTCCTGCTCCTGGTCTGCAATCTCCTCGTAGAAGCGCTACCAGCAGGCTGTTGCATCTGGCTCAAGGTTTGAGAAAGAGGACGGGGCATGGGCATGGGCATGCTGATGCTGATGCTGCTTCACCATCCACTGCGCAGCAGCGTGATGACACATTATCCGCTCATCGAAGTATCATGCACGATGCCGAAGAAGAAGTTGCACAGCAGAACAGCAATCACAATGTGCATGTCAGCTCCATCGACGGCCAAGACGACTCGTTGCACAACGCTCGTGCTGATGACCCAGCTTCTGCTCATCGTCGTCCCACCTTCCTGCACGCGAGCAGCAGCTTTGCAACGCTGGCGCAGGCACAGGCGCAGGCGCAGGCGCAGGACGCATCGGCCAACGGAGCGGCGAGCGCGTCAGCGAGCACGAGTCAGCCGAGTCAGCAGCATGCGAGTTCTCGGACGGAATTGCTGGGCGTCGCTGCTGCTGCTGATCGGAAAGAGAGCGGCACTGGACCTGCTGGTCGTTGGAACAGCTTCAAGCGCGCTTTGATCCTTGCCAACGCGGTGGTGAGCAGACTTACTTGCAGATGCGGGGGCGCGGGCGGGGGTGCGAGGCGGGGGCGCGAGGCGAGGCGCGAGGCGCGAGGCGGGATCCGGTGTTGCTCTCTCGCGCTGGCCACAACTCACGCACGCTCGCCCCCTCTGCAACTCCTGCACAGCTCACGGCGTACTCTGTCACGCTTCTCGTCTTGCTCATCCTGCTCTGGAGTCAAGTATTTGTCAATGGCGATGTCCTCATCGCCACAAATTACACGGCCATGGCGCGTGAGTAGTAGCAGTCGCAGGCGCAGTCACAGGCGCAGTCGCCAAGCCCCTCCACGAGCAAAGTGTGTTCCAACGAGCTGCTTGCGCTCACAGCAGCAGCAGCAGCAGCCCCGCGGCAAAGCCTCCCGCAAGTGTTTCGCCCATTCTCGACTGATCATTCCTTCCCCCTCTCTCGCATCGCAGTCGCAACAGCCGCAATGTGCTTAAGCTGCGCAACCGCACTCATAGGCTGGCTCGGCATCCTCCTCAACAATCGTCTCTTTCTCACCATCTACAACTTTCTGCTTTGGCCCAGCCTGGCATTGATAGCCGCGCCAGCGTACCTGACGTATAGAAAGCGCGAATTCAATCTCGAGGGCAAACTCAATCAGCTCTGGTCCAGGCAACTTTCCAACATCCAGCGTCTGCTCATTCAGCACGCGTTCGACTGTTGCGGATACTTTGGACCCTACGTCCTCGCTGCTGCCGATGGTCAACGCTGCTTCTCTAGAAGCCTCAAAGACGGCTGCAAAGCTTCCTTGCTGCGCTTCGAGAGGGACGCTTTGCATATCATCTACTCCATCGCTTTCGCCATCGGTGGCATTCACATCCTCATCATCACCGTCGCAATCCTCTGCGCGGACCATGTGACCTACATGTTCGGCAAAGGCATCACCCCCGCCCAGTCATATCCTACCCACGAATCGCTCCATGTGAGTCTTGGTCGGGGAGCGCTTTGCGGTGTGGAGGAGCAGGATGAGCGCTAGCTGATTTTGCGCATCGATGCGAATTTGAATCTACTTTTGACTGCAGGTCGCACCGTCTAGCCGATCACGTGCTCGGCCACGTCATTTTCTCCCACTTGTCCTCAGAGCGCCGCTCCGTCTTTTTGGCAAATGAAAAAAAAAAAA